ACAAATTCATAGTAGATCATTTGAAAATTAAACTGATAATGAGCTACACTTTTACAATAGAAGCATGGTAATGATAGCAAAAAAATTTGTACCTATAGTTACGTAATTACAAAATATACATGTATCTGTTATGTATAATAACACCTACATATTATACCTACATAATGTAAATGTACGTAGGAATGTATTTATTAATAAAATCGTAAAATTGTATTTGGTTATTGTGGTTAACCGCAAATTATGTCTAAAACGTTCCACAAATAAAAATGTAAAACATAATTGTTTTTATTTTTCTATACTGCCATGCCAATGCATTTTGTTTCTGTAATGTAATTTTAGTGTTTTTTTTTCAATTTTTGTATTTTAGTCATGCACATACAGATATTTTTGTATTTTAAAATTTTAATATAAATATTCAATAAAATATTATTTTTATTTAAAACAGTAGTTTTACACAAAAAAAAATTGCACAATATAAAGTAGGGAAAAGGCTAGAAATAATTTAAAAATTTAAAATCTATTCAAAACATAAGGGGTGTGTAATTGTAAGTGGAATCAGTGGCATATAAATAGTTAGAGAAAGTGTGATGATTTTAGCTGAGTCGGCTAACGTGGACCACCATTATATTAGAGAAATTATACATGTAATGTCCCATCTGGCTATGCATCTCGAAACATGCAGAATTATAATATTGTTAATAAGAAAAAAAAAGGAATTACCCGGAAATAAGTATTACTGCAACTTTCAGGATCTGAAGGGTATTTACAAAAAATATTGTATAGCACTTTTTTGTGCACCGTTGCGGTAAAACCGGTTTCTGCAAAAGAAGTGAGCCAAAAATTCTGTTTAAAAGAGTATTTATTGTGATTATAAAAATTATATTTTTTTCAAAGATTGGAATTTTGTGTATTGTGGAACTCTATTGTTGAATAAAATTGATTTTTTGATAAAATAAATTCTTGACCTCTCGTCAGGTAAGAGTGGTTCGAATTTCCATTCCATTTTTAAAACTTTCAAAAATTGATTTTTTGTACTGGAAATGAAGTTGCAACAAAATTATTCAACATAAAACGCTTATATTTTGTATTTTGAATGGTAATACAAGTCTTTGATAGTGGCCCTTCTCCGAATCAAAAAGATTTAAGATAATGGAGAAAACTGCAGAAACAAAATAGATGGTTCACGATCATAGAACTTATTATAGCTAATGACATTTTACTATAAATATAGGTATAATTAATTCGAATTTTCTTTAACATGCCTCAAATGAGAATGTTCGAGTTATGGATGGTTTAAAAATTATTTAAAATTTTAATTGAAACTGTTTTGTCGCCTAAGTATTTCTTCAATGAAACTCAAGGTGTCGTTTTCAAATATGAATCGAACGCGAAACTGAAGGTTATGGCATTTAAAATTTTGGTTTGTTTTATAATTTATATGTTATACTAGGTTTAATTAAAATTTGCTTGCTATCATTAACATGCGTCAATTGAAAACTGTTATTTAAATTTAACTTTGTTTCTAATAAATTTAGTTTTGATTATTTTTATATAAGTATATACCTTAGGTTTTTTATCTCTATATAAACAGAAGGAACATTCCAGTAGCTATACCAATTTTATTTGTTTTACGTTAGATGCTTCACAAATTTATTATATTTAAATTAATTACAACAATTATACAATTTTCATGAATCGCTTGGATCCCAAATCACTAAATTCAAACTCGAATTTGCAATCCGCATCCGAAATTTTTAGGGATTCCGATTGAACTCACTAAAAATATTTTATGGAAACTTCGATAAAAATTTCAATTTTAGTATTAAAGTTTTTTTAAATATAAAAAAGTCGTGTAGAATATCTCATTTCACAATTCTTTAGCAAATTATTTTCTCTTGTTTATTTTTTTTTATTTTTTCAATTTTAATTTTAATATTTATTTTAAATTGATTACATAAATCGAGTCTCTTTAAAGATTCCATTGAATTTTTTAAAGCTTACGCTTAATTGCAATTTTTTTTAACAATAATTTTTTTTGATTTAATAAAATAAAATTGTTGAAAATTTAATTAAAAAGCAGAAAAACAGTAAAAATATTATATTTGGACCCCTGAAAGAAATATTTTGCATATAAAATTAAGTAATAAAATATTATTCAAGGGAAGAATAATAATTCAACAAACACAATAAAGAAAAAATACCTACATTGACAGAATAAGATTTTTAAGGTACTGCTCATTAGGAATTCCTTCTTGTGGTCGCAATTTTTGACCAAAAATATAAATATACTTATTATTGTACACATATTTACGTATATTATTATTATTTTTGTATTTAATTTAAATGTTTATTTTATGTAGACGAATTGATGAGCATGACGATGGTTCCTACCGTAATTCATACCGTCTTGTATATATGTATGTATATTGTTGAACGGACTGAATTATAATAAAAATTATATAAAGATATTATATATTTGTCTACTTTTATTTTTAAATAATGGCATTATAAATTTTATATTTCTGTCTGTATTAAGGTGTATAATCAGTATGTGCATACATACATAGATTTGCTTATTTTACTTGTTACAATTACTATTTTTATTACATATGCAAATATCTATATGTGCAATGCAGTTTTTTTGCGGTTTTTTATTTTTATGACATTTCAATAAGTTGTGTAATTAAAATTGTTGATAAAACATTAATGAAAAGTGAGTCAATTTTTATAACAAATAGAAAGTGACATTGAATCCCTTGGAAAAATTTTCATACGATTCATATATAGTAAGCATTTCGTATGGGAAAGTGCTGCATAATAATTATATACAAGCAGTTGTGTCTCTAATTAACGTACAGTGCTTTCCCATAGGAATGTACTATTGCAGTAATTTCCGACTTATATGTGTGACTATTGTACAGTACTTACCCAAAGGAATGTACTATTGCAGTACTTTCCTATATGGCAGTTTCCCACAAGGCATCATATTGAATCAATTTTCTAATGTGACTTTTCAACATTTCTTTTATGAATGTGACCCAATGATTTTGAAAACTTGTTGAACTCTTTCACAAAATATTTAAAATTTTCATTATTTCACATATTTTGGTAACAATTTTACAAATAACAAGTATGGATGTGTTGATTTTAAATATTGTTTATTATTTTTCAATTCACAATAAACTATTGTTATTCTATTCACAATAATTATTATAATACCGTTATGAAATTTTTTAAAATTTTCTTTACGAATAATAAAGACGAATTTTATGTAAAAAAAAATAATAATTTTTGCTTTTTAAACGTTTTCGGGTGACAAAAAATTTAAAAAAATAAAAACTTAAAAATTTTTCGGCAAGATGTCGTTGTTACATTTTTGTATTCACAAACTGATAAACATTTATGCTTTAACTTTATATTTTCGTAATTGTTTTTTTTTTGATTTCATTGCAAATCTAATATACAAAATTCATAATATGTAAATTTTATTGACGAGAATACAAAAATTCATGAATTGATTTCCTGCCAAACCCGGATTTTTTTTGGAACGAAAATGGAATAGTAATAATAATAGTAATAATCATAATAGTTATAATATATAGAATATATTGAATATTATATAGAGTCAAAATCACAATAGAGGAGTTAAGAAGGAAGAGGGAAGCAATACATAATTTATGTTATGTACAAAATTCAATGACATTTTGAATTTATTTGGAATGGATTTCTTTTCGACGGGAAAAGAATTTAAATTTTTTTATAAAATAAATTTTTGTGTATACATATTATAATTTCGGGGACTCACATTCAAATAATATTTTGTAAGAAACTTTGATTTGAATATAAGAGTGAATATAAGAGAGCAGCGTTTCATTGAAGAACATTTTCCATATGGTTTGATTTGAACGAATAAATGACAGCATAATGTGCTTTAACTATATAATGAACTATATGAAATTTACACTACGTCTTATAGCCGAGTATATTAAAACTGATATCGAAAGTTTAATATGTCCAGTCTCAATTACGATCACCATTTGTTGAATTAATAAGCAAAAAATTCTGTTCAGTAGATATGATAAAAAAAAAGGAAAATCGCCCCAAGATTGGTTTCCAAGCCCTGATTTTTCAAAAAAAAAAATTATAGATTCATAAAATAAAATTCCATATAAATATTTCTCTAAAAGTAGTTTATTTACCCTTCCCTACTATAGATACGGGCGCTCCTACCCAAAATCCGACATCAACAATTTGATGTCATCACATGACCTACCTCTTTGTATCAGTCGATACAAAAAAATTAATTGAATATTCAAAAACAATGAGACTTGCCGCTGTCATGGACCGGAATATTTTTAGAAGTTGATTCAAACTTGTAATTTAAAACCCCTTAAGATAATTTAAAAACTGAAAATAAAAAATTTATATGGCCGAGACTTGGTCGCATTGCGTTTTATGTGTTGCAAATTTTGTTTTCTTCCATATACAAGTAGCTTATTACTAGTCCGATGAAATAGGGTGAAAATCTTTAAAATAAACTTTTTGTAAATAAAAAGATAAAGAGGTTACTATTGGAATTACTCGAAAATTAAAAATTTGTCGTCTACATAAGTAGATTATGTTTCTTCAAATCTCTCTGAAGTATTCATTACAAAAGTGAGCTTGTTATGACTAAGTGCGGAACAGAATATTTTTCTTTTCGATAAGTTTTCACACGTGTTTCGGATGTGATGTTTTTGAAAGAAATTAATCTTAAAAAAATTAGATTACCCTTATAGTTGTCAGTAAAATTGTTTATATTTTATTTTGTAGACAATATGTGTGTGTGATTCATATCACACGTAAAACCACAAAGTTTTTCACAAAAGTTTTCAGACTCAAAATTATTATTTGAAATAGAACAATTGAAACACAACAACGGTTCGGTTATTACATCGGTATACTCAGAAATTCGCTATTATTTCTTAAATCAGTATGGAAATTGTTTTTAGCCAAAGTATTATCAATTTATTTTGACATTGTTAACATAAAACTGTTTTGGAATGCCTAAGTTAAAATTAATGTTTCCAAAATTTTATTTCAAAATTGCATTTATACCTTTGACATTTATATTTTTCTCACAAACATTTGCACTTCTAAGCTGTCCAAAAGAATTTCTATATCAAATTGGAGTAAACGCAACATGTGAATCAGGATACAATACGTTAATCCAATGTGATGGATCTAATTATCTGCATGTAATGAAAGCTAATATTAAATGTGTTGAAGGATATTATAACGCAAATCAAATGATAAAATGTGATACTAGGACTGGAACATGGTTTCCAGAACCTTTTCAATGTAATGGTTATTGTGATCGGACTGGTACTAAAAATCTATTGAAAGTTTTAAATGAGAAATTTAAGTATCCTTGGTATGCAGAAATATTGAAACATCGAGATACAAATATAACAGAAATATTTCCAGCATTAATTATGACTGGACGAACAGTCATAACACGGGAAAAATATTTCAAAACAAATTTGTCACTGAATTTAACTGATTACGTAGTACGAGTTTATGATCCTCCCAACTTACATGAAGATTTTAATATTGACCGCATCGAATACGTAAGCAGGTAATTTGTATACAAACAATGCAAAAATATTTTGTTTGAATTTATTTATTTTGTTGCAGTGAACCAGCAATATACAAACCAGATACTAAAGAACCATATTGTGTTTTAATTTTAACAAGTGATAAATATATTAAAATAAATCTTAAAGACACAAGACCGTATTGTCTAGACGAAATCAGATTTTGGAAAAAAATACCAGAATATAAGTAAGGCAGAAAGTTCTTAAGAAAACAAAAAAAGAAAAAAAAAACAATAAAAAATGTTTTCAAATCATTTTTCAGTTTGCCTCCAAAATTCCCAAACCAGTGCGTTGTCCCTAATTTAGATAAGAGGAAAAATGTCGAGTTATACTGCTATCAAAGAATAAAATCCAAGCCGTTAAAAAAATGCCCAGCTACAGTACAAGCCTTACAAACAAAATGTAAACTTGGATATGAAAAGAAAAATTCAACCGAAAAGGATTTTCTATCAATGTGTATAGCAAATCGTTGGAGTATTAATGACAGGCGTGATGAAAATTGTGAATTGATGTGCGGTAAAATGAGTTACAATAAAGATGAAGAATCTTCCATACCACCATGGCATGCTGCCATTTATTTTAAGAATATTAATGACACTTTATCTCCACTTAATCAATTATGTTCCGGTGTTATTATACATAGAGATATTATTTTAAGTGCAGCTCAATGCTTCTACGATAAGACAAACAATAAATTGGAAGGTTCTTCAAACTTTCGTGTTGTAGCGGGAAAAAATTTCCAAGATGAAAAAAACAGTGGAAATTCTGAACAGTTCGCTGAAATTTCGGAAATATATATTCCATCCACGTAAGTTTATTTTTTTTTTAAGTTAGTATTAAAAATTATTAGATCATAGTATTATGATCTCATGCACTCAAAATTATCTTATTTTAGATATGGTAACGGAAATTGGAACAATGATGTTGCGGTTTTAATTTTGAAAACTCCACTTATTTTCAATTCATTTGTCAGTCCGATATGCCTGAAATTGAATTCTAATTCTGATTTGGAAAGTGGTACAACAGGAAGTATTTTCAGATGGAAATCGAATCATATTAATGAAAGTTTAGAAAATTCAAATAATAGCTCAGGAAACTACTGTCATTTAATAGAAAATTTGACAACTATATGTAATAGGGATATTGGCGGTGGATTTTTTCATAAAGAGATTATAGATTCAAAAAATCGTTACGTTCTGAAAGGAATAATTAGTACATTTATAAATATTAAAGATTATTGTGTGAGTAAAAATGTAGCAGCCATCGTTGATTTATTTTATGTACAAGAATTTTTAAAAACAACAATATCCAATTATCGGCAAAAGTTGGATTATAAAGAAATACCGAAATTAATTTGGCATCGTATTTACGATAATGAAATATGGACTGCGCCTTATTGGATTAGAAAAGAACTGAATTTAAAACTTCAAACAGTAGACCCTAATAAATTTTAATTTAAATGAAAATTTATTTAGTTTTGTAATGCTAAATATTATATTTTAAATAAAGTGATAAAATTAAAATATCATTTGGATAAAAAACATAAATAAAAAGACACTAAGAGAGGTTATGAATCCTCCAAATATTGCAATTTTAAATAGATAAAACCGCAATTCTAATATCATATTCAAATCGTGCAAAGCGAAGATCGCCTGAACTGTTTATTTGTTTTGTGATTCAATATCGATTACTCGGTACCGATGCATTTTCGAATTATATTTACATTAGGCGGTTCTAAAATTTTGAGAATTAAATGTCCAGGCATAATATAAATAAAGACGTCGCATACATTCCCTTATCAATTCATTAATTAATAATACACTGCATTCAGGATGATGTGACTTATTATAGAAAAATTTGATATTATGCGCGGTATAATAGAGTACATTTTTTGACATCCTATTGCTTAAATATAACAATTAAATTATTATTAATTGTGTTATTAATAACATGCCCGTCTAAATGCCAGATCAATGTCTAAAGATTGTATTCAAATTTTTCCAAAATTCCGCGATATCTGAGAATTTTTAAATATTTACGTTACAAGAATGAAGTTTTTACTCCTAGCCCTAAAAAAATTTTTAAAAATTACTAACAAAAATATCAAATATGTTGAAACCGTATAGGTTAGATTCTAACATTTTTTATCAATATAAAAATAAGGTTAGAAATATTTCAATTCCAACCACGTACACCTTGTTATAGCATACAACAAAATTTAATGTGGTCAAGATAGACCGACCGCATTGTGCGTTTTTTGAATAATATTTAAAAATTCTAATAATTTTTATCTTAGATGGTTAGCGAATGTAAATGTTTTCCACATATTTATTTGAAGGTGTATAAATTTAATTCATTACTTTTGTAATTTCAAAATTTCAAATTTGGTTCTTAGTAGAGGTTCATTTTCTGTGATCCGATCTGCTCTAAATAGAAGCCACACTTTCAATAAATTGTATTTATTTATTTGTCTAGATAATAGTCAAAAATGAAGCGACAGTTTCCGTTTATTGTTCATTGAGTAAAAAGACTGAAATTTAAATTTAACTTTTTCTATTCGCTATGTTTTTAGTAAACTTAAGGGCTCGTAACAGACGCGGTTTTGATACTATATTAAGCTAATACAACGTAAACTGCCAGTTATAAAAAATGCATGCTGGTGTCTGTCAAAATTTATGTCTATTTCAAAATTTCACAAGTTGAATTTCGTTTGCAATACAACCATTGGCTGTGTGCTTGCAGATAGATCACTTAGATTTTCTAAAAGAAGGTATATTCAGTGGTCATTAGTTATTTTATTGATTTGCAAACCAGTACTTACTTCTTACATTCATATGTGCCTACAAACAATTATTGTTCGTTTGTTTTATTTTATTATTTTTTGAATACAACCTTCAAAAAATTTGGACCCATTCAAAATAAAACAATCAAAAACCGCATTCTGGTTTAAAAACTAACGCATAACTATCAAAAATTTTTTTTGAAACTCTTGTAAAATTATTTCAATTATGAATATTGATCAAAACGGTTAACTACTGTGAAATTAATGGGTTCCTATATCAGTGTAAAAATTTCATTTTTAATTTTTATATTCGTTTTTATTAAATTTGCTCAGGCTTTTATTACTTGCCCAAAAGAATTTCTTTATCAAATTGGAAGCAATACAATTTGTTTATCAGAAGATTCCGAACCAATTCAATGCGATGGGTCTGAAAATAATTTAATATTTGGAGCTAATATAACTTGTATTGAGGAATATTATAACAATAAGCCTAATCAAATGATAGAATGTAATTTCGTTACTGGTACGTGGACTCCAGAACCTCTTAGATGTTTTCACGATTGTATTCGAGATCCTATTGCAAAAAATATTCAACTTTCTAATAATAAATTTCAACATTCTTGGTATGCAGAAATATTAAAAAATCCTACAGAAAACGGAGCGGATGAAGTCTTTCCAGCAGTAATTATGACTGGAAGAATGGTTTTGACATGGGAAAGGTATTTTAATCCAAATGTTTCGTGGTTTTTAAACGACTATGTAGTACGAATTTATTATCCTCCAAGTTGGTCTGATGATTATAAAATTGAGCGCATCGAATATGTAAGCAGGTAATTTTGAAATAATATCAGTACTGAATTGTAAGAAGAGAAAACGTTAAAATTTAATTAAAATGTAGTAAAGTTGCGTTAGGTAAATCTCACCTCTTTAAATAAATATTATTTAACTACAAATTCAATGATTGGATTTACAAAAGCAATGATTCATTTGAAATGAATGCCTATCATTCAATTTTTTCAATATTTCAGTGAACCCGAAATATACGGAATGGAGAGGTCAGATAGATATGAAACATTTTGTATTTTAATTTTAACTAGTGAAAAATATATAATGATGAACGTACCAGAGCCAAATTTACCACCTTGTTTTGAAGACGATATTTTTGCTAATAATAATTGGTACATCGAAATTTCAAGAGCAATACCCGAAAATAAGTAAGATTGAAGCTTTTGTGTTCTTGAATTTTTATATAAAATAATTTTTTTATAGTTTACTACCCAATTATCCAAGTGAATGTTTTGTTCCAAAATTAGAAGAGAACATTGAAGTAATGTGTTATCTAAGTTTAAAATCTAAACCTTTAAAAAATTGCGTCGGTTATTTTACAAATATGAGATTAAAAACTGTACCGGTTTTACAAACAAAGTGTAAACTTGGATATGAAATGATTTTTCCACCCGAAAAAGATTTTAGTTCAATGTGTATAGCAAATCGCTGGAGCATCTACAACAGGCGTGATGAAAAGTGTAAATTGATATGCGGTGAAATAAGTAAAAGATCTACCATACCACCATGGCATGCTGCCATTTATTCTAAGAATGTTAATGACAGTGTATCCCCACTTGATCAACTATGTTCCGGTGTTATTATACATAGAGATATTATTTTAAGTGCAGCTCAATGCTTCTTCGATAAGACAAAAAATAAATTGAAAAGTTCTTCAAACTTTCGTGTTGTAGCGGGGAAAAATTTCCAAGATGAAAAAAACAGTGAAAATTCTGAACAGTTTGCTGATATTGCAGAAATACATATTCCATCCACGTAAGTTTATTTTTTTTTTAAGTTAGTATTAAAAATGATTAGATCATAGTATTATGATCTCACGCACTCAAAATTATCTTATTTAAGATATGGTAACGGAAATTGGAACAATGATGTTGCAGTGGTAATTTTGAAAACTTTGTTTATCTACAATGGATTTGTTCGTCCGATTTGCATCAATTTGAATTCTAAGTCTGATTTAAAAAGCGGTACATCAGGAAATATTTTCAGGTGGAAACTTAATCCAGGGACAAATGTGGACTCAGGAAACTATTGCCATTTAACAGAACATTTAACAACTACTTTTTGTAAAAATGATGTTGGCGGTGGATTTTTTTATAAAGGAATGATAGACTCAAAGTATCGTTACATTTTAAAAGGATTAATTAGTTCAAATATAGATCATAAAGAATATTGTTCCCATAGCTCTAAGGCAGTAATCACCGATTTATATTATGTGCAAGAATTTATAAAAACAAAAGTAACAGAGCATCGACAAAAATTAAATGAAAAAGAAATTACAAAATTAATTTGGTATCGTATTTACTCACATGTAGTTTACACTATGCCTTATTGGGTTAAAAAAGAATTAAATTTAAAATTGCAAATAGTTAATCCAAATAGAACTTGATTTTGGTTAGCATTTAAAGATAGTGCAGAATTGATTACCAATGTTGGTGATTGCCAATAAACTTTATTAAATTTTTTAACTTTTGTTGTGAAAGTAGTTTCCTTGCATACTGGTTTGTGTTTTGAAGGATGTTATGTCTAAAATTAGTCGGTGGTGTTTAGATATGAAATTTGTGTGCGGTTTTTGCAGTTTCAAAAATGTTTAAATTTTTATTACTTGAAATCACTGAAAGTACTTGATTCATAGCCATTAAAAAACATCACTGCTGCAGTTAAAATAGTACAAATAGTATAACATCTATAAGAAACATCAAGATGCAATATTAATCCATCAATTATTTGCTTTAAATGAATTAGATTTATTAAAAAATTTTTAATATAATATTAATTTGTTAGACTTAGACTTTAGATTTAGACTTTATTTTATTGTAAATCTCCGTTTCTAATTTTAACTAACTGTGTTTCATATAATAAGTGACGCGTTCTGACTGAATTTCATATATCGAATGTTGACTTAATATGAGACCTTGCTTAGTATTTATGGAGAAGAGTTAAAGTAGGGGTTCAATATGAGCGAAGATTCTAAATAAAGTAAAGGTTTCCTTATATTCACTTTGAATATTAATTTATTGCTTATTAAAACTGCATCTAATTGCTGTTGCCTCGGCTTCTTACATCGATAAAACGGCGGTATTTTTCTACAGCAGCCGTTATCAATATGATTCCCTTTAGAGTTTTAGAAAAAAATCTATATGCATAATATATTAAGTAACATATAAAATTTTAGAAGAATGTTGGTAAGAAATTCTAGACTAAATTTAGTGTTTAATTATAATCTTAATTTTAACCATAAAATTTGGAAATTATTACAAATAGTTTTAAAATTTCTTGAAAATTTCGTTCTTGGAATTCACTGATATTATTAAACGAATACCAGACTTCTGTTAAATTTATTTCTATAATAAACTATAAAAATTTATGAAACATTTCGTGTAATAAATATCGTAACATTGGAATTATTCAAGACAACACTATACCATTACCATGATGATTATATAATTTTTCTTATTTCTATAAATTTTAATTCTGCCTTAGTGTTTCACTGCACATTCTTTGTTTTCTCTCAATTTTTTTTTTTTTTTCTTACAGAAATTTTTTCTTGATTTTGTTGTTTTAATTTAAATATGAAAATGATGTCAGTAATGCAATGTTATTGCCATTTATAATTTT